AGCGATCGGTTCTGTTCCCCTGGAGACATTGTGCTTTTGTGGAATTTTTCTTTGTTTTGTCTGGTGTGGCTGTAGGACTACTTGTATGATTTTGGAGGCCCTCCACTTGGTCCCCGTGTTTGCACATGTCGCAGGGGTTCAGCTTTTTGTGTATTTGCTTGGTTATTCTGGGATAACCGGTTAGTAGTACTTTGCCTGAGCTTCCCTTAGCCTAAGGGCCCTGGAAACCCCCATTAGGGCTCATTCATCCGATGAAGGAGACCTCCGAGTCCCACCTCACTTTGTGCGAGTTTGAAGGTTGCTCTGTCCCCTTGTCTTGGGGTGACACCGTCTTTGTCTCTGCCATGCTGCCTGTTGGGTTATTGACACCTTTGACCCAGAGTCCTGCGAGTGGTGTTCCTTGCTAGTAATCCAAGTCATCCAGTCCACTGAGATTGATATTCGGGTGCAGGCAGCTTCAGCGTTGCATGTGCAATTTAGGTTGCTGCAACGCGCAAGGTTGCTTACCTTTCCCGCCAAACACACACCGAAACTATGACATTGGTACAACGTTCGAACAAGTTTTAACACCTCCTAACCAGTTATAATAACCAATATAGCAAGTTGTAACAACGTTCTAATATGTCATAAACACGTTAAGCCAAGATGTAACAACTTTATTATAAGTTGTAACAAGCGGAAAATAGAGACAGTTTTGGTCTGTGTTTCCAGGGTTCCGGATGCCCCGCCGCTGCCTGGGGCATTAAACTCATTAACTTAAATAAATTAACAAGTGCACACTTGAACTACTAAAGATAGCCAATATCCATATATATATTTGCTTATAAAATATTAATGAAGTGCAATTATGAGACTTGGGCTCGTATTCATTGAGTAAATATATGGTGCATGTATAATGGTATGAGTATGCTTTATCCATACATGTGCATGTTTTAGATTATATGAATCAATATTACCACTTGTGACCCCTCAATACATCAATTGACCACAATTTTTTTTTTTTTTTTTTTTTTTTTTTTTTTTTTTTTTTTTTTTTTTTTTTACAAAATTAGATTGAAAATTGCAATGAATTAAATAACGTACATTTAATTGCTGTATGGCACCCAACTCAATCACTTGTGCTATGAATGCCAATCTTCTGTCCTCAGTTCTGTATTTCTGAAATGGGCACATTTGGTAGGTCTCCAAAGCTAAACACTTGTTAAAGCCATGCCTTAGGGAAATTGCATAAGGCCTCTTGCGACTTTCTCTGCCTACTGGAACCCAGAAAGCAAAATCTGGTTACAGTGCTGGCCCCGTTGTGCCTGGCAGGCCAGTTCCCCACCAGATGGCACCCCTCACTTACAAGCCACCCCAAGTGGATGAAGCAAATACTGTAGTAGAAATGAGGAGCTACCGATTTCCCACCAAGAAAACTGAGTCATTATGTACAACACTTGATTTCTGGGAGGGGATCCCTCAATAGCTCCCTGAAGCTATATTGCAGCTGAAAAAATTAGTAAAAAGCAGAAAAGCACAGCCAGAGTTAACTGTTGAAGAAGGTGGAAGAAGAGGGGGAGTGGTTCTGGTTAAAATAAATTTGAGCAATGCACCAGTTGTCTAATTAAAATAAGAGTGTAGTTTGGCACAGGGATGTAAGAACATGCAGTATAAACATAATAGAAGAAACTACAGAAGGGCTCCAGTAGTGTCGGGTTCTTTGTGACTCGTAATCGGAAATTTCGGGTTCAAATGGTTGCTGGGTTAGATAGAAATGGTTGGGTGCATTTCCTTCCACCTAATGCCCTTATTAACCTAGCAGTAAATAAGTACTATATCTAGGAGTGAGTTAGCTTGTTGTGGGGCTGCATCCTGGGAGGGGGGGAAACTACACAGTTTTCCCACTGTGTAGTAGCTTTAAGGGTACTGGTTCAGCGAATTGAAAAATACGTAGAACATTTCATTTTACAGGAACTGTCTGTACCCTGTACAGACACAGGGTTTGTACAGGGACAGACCCCGTACCCTGTCAGAGGCCCTGAAAGCTGAGTGGACAGCTCTTCGGATTCGTATTCCTGAGGTTCCGGGTTCGATCCCCGGTGGAGGCGGAAACAAATGGGCAGAGTTTCTTTCACCCTGATGCCCTTGTTACCTAGCAGTAAATAGGTACCTGGGAATTAGACAGCTGCTACCGGCTGCTTCCTGGGGGTGTATAACAAAAAGGAGGCCTGGTCGAGGACTGGGCTGCAGGGACGCTAAGCCCCAAAATCATCTCAAGATAACCTCAAGATAATCCAGTAAATCAGTACGAAGTACTCTCTCCCACTATGCTATCGGACCTCAATCATTCGTCCATTCCATCTATTTGTTTGCATTCCGGCCCCAGGCGGCACCACTCATGAGAAGCCTATGTAGTTTGGCGGCCGTCCATAGAGTTGCCGGTGGCGCAACCGTTGTTTAGTGTTTGTGTTTACCCACCACAGGCAAAACCTTTACCTTCTCACTGTTTTAAATCTGTGCATATTTCTTACATCTTGCTACTAGTGTGTCAGGAAATATGTTGTTTAAGGCTTCAACAAGCAGTGATGTCAAGGGAAAACATGCTGTGATGATGGAAAAACATGCTGTGATGATCTTTTAGTAAAACATTCAGCTTATAAAGGAAGATGAATCTGGAATGCTATTGTGTGGGCCAAAGAAAGTCACCCAAAGCTACTTAATGCTACCCAAAGCCTCCTAGCATTACATAATTAATGAAGAAATGTGGTAAACTGTATTTATCCACTATAATGTTGGTGCTGAATATAGAAACATGGAAAAATTTTTTTTTTTTTTTTTACAATGAAATAATCTCATTTCAAAATGGAATTATAGGGAAATATGAAGCAGGTGATGCCACAGGAAGTTGACGATCCAAGCAACAATGTTGTGGAGCATGTAGATTCTAAATATTATTGTAAATATGCATTCTACTAGTTAACATCACCAATTAAATTTACGACAATTTGAACAGAAAAGTGTGACAATGGATCACTGAACAGGAGGCAAATATGCCAGCAAATACACACCAGGCAAAAATATATCTTGGACAAGTTGCTCCACAACACTGTCGCTTGGAGCGTCGACTTCCTATGGTGTCACCTGCCTCATATTCTCATCTCATTTCAATGTAAAATTAGGTTATTTCAGAGTAAAAATATGTTTTTTCATGTTCTGCATTAAACCCCAACATTATAGTCAGTATATATATACCAAATTTCTTCACAAATTACGTAATGCTAGAAGGTTTTTGGTAGCATTGGATAAAGGTGCAGAGGAATGCGTGTCCAAAGTTGAGATCGTGGAGGAATATTCTCTATCTTCTGAGCAAATTTATAATGCCGATGAAACAAGCTTGTACTGGCGTGTGTTACCCTAACCAAACCAAACTAAACCTAATCAAACCTAACCAAACCCAAACCCAACCTAATCTGATGAAGCCTAATCTAACTTAACAAAATCATATTTAACCTAACCAAACCAAACACAACCTAACCCAATCAAACCTAACTGAACCCATCAACATCTAGGCCTCAACCCTCAGTTAACACCACCATACTCACCTACACATCATTCTAAGATCATATGTGGGAGAAACATCTGGACAAGTGGTGAGTACCCATATTTATTGTTGCAGTATTACCAGTGTTTTGTTAAAAGTATCTAGTGAAACAATAATATATTGTTATGTACTTTGTACATAAAATTATTTTTTGTGTCGGGGGGGGGGGGGAGGAATTAGACTACATATCCAATCGAAATTGGGCCCAAGGTGTATGAAAGGGAGGATATTGAGTGGACTGTATTTATGGTTGGAAATTGGTGAAAGTATTTTAGAAATACAATACGGAGTACAGTAAGAGGTGACAAAATTTGAAATTTGACAAAACTAAACCCTAAGTTATGTTAAGTAATATATGCATAGAAGGTCAAATAGAAGAACATTACCAATACTGTAAGATAAAGTACACCGTCATGTGAAAAAATGCCTTTTCGTCATTGTTTAGTCGTTATTCATTCCCGACATTTTTTTTTACACTATCATTTATTTTTGTGTTGCTTTGTGTTTATAAAGGCAGTAACAAAAAATACCCAATTTAAAACAACTGGAACGGGCACACGTTTCAACTCGAGGGCAGGCCACGGCAGTCACGAAAACCATAAGCCTCTTGCGTGGGTGGCCACCCATGCAGCAATGCTGTGATGCCACATGGGGTATACATAAAATGGGAAGACATTGGTGTGCATTTTAAAACAAGTCTCATAATAATCGCACAATAAATGGGATTTTTACAAATGCAGTATTTTAATTGTTGTCGGTGTTAACGTCATGTCGCACATTATGTGAATTGTTTTAATGACTTCGAGAACGTCATCACAAAGGCAAAGTGTTAAGTTCACATTTCCCGAATTCACTTCACATAAGGTTTACAAGGAATGTAATCCTTATGCAGAAGGAGAGTTGATAATACTTTACTTTGATTTTTGCTGAGATCTCTATTGACAACTGACGTCTGTACTGCATTCTCTATTTTTATGACTTCAGTAGATTCCCATAGAAGTGCTTCCTTATTTTTCTTTGGGATTTACAGTAGCTTGGAGTTAGTGAGCATCTGAACATTACTAGTATGTTCCTAATTCTGTTTTATGTTAGGATTATTAAAATTCTTGATGAAAACTGGAGGAAGTAAATACATAATTTAATGCTTCATCAGTTATACTGTTCATAATTGTGAATGAAATGTAGTTGAATAGACACAAAAATACGCATCCTTCTTTTGTAAAGTAGAACTCGTCATTGTTTGTAAGAAGTTTGTAACATTTCATACTTGAGTGCTAACTGGGAGAGATGGCAAGTGCTAGTTTATTCATTATTGAAAGCTTAATAATGTTTGAACACTAAATATAAAAATGAAACTTTATCCTTTTTGGGATTTTAATTTTTTCTTTAGATATGTCAATATTTTGTTTTTCTGTTGTAGGTGAAATTCAACCAAATGAGCAATCAATTAAAGCCAGCATTGAGGCAGTAGTCAGCAGAGCTCGAGAAGAAGCAACAGATAAAAAAGATGAATCTGATGAGTCTGCCTCATCCAGCTCCAATTCTAGTTCTTCTGATAGTGATTCATCTGGAAGTAAGTACAGTACTGTATAAAATAATCTAAACTCTTCTTCTCCATTAATTGATAAATATCTTCTTTAATGCTTCTGGTTTTTCTTTAAAAGTTTTCTTCAGTTGTATATTAGCAGTAAATCTTATTGTTCCCAAGTTGTTATAAATCATTTAGTTGTAACCCTTCAACTTAAGTTCCTATAATGGTATAATATGCTATAATTTTCAGGCCAAGTTCAGTTGAGAATCATGGCAATACAGTACTTCGGGAATACGGTAATTGTGCCGCTTGATTTAACTCTTTGGCAGTCTGGCCTATCTGTGCATTCCTGAGAGTAAACGTTCTGGCCTGCCCATGTCGTTCATGGGCTCCTCAGTGATGGGTATCTTTTTGCAGTCATTTCATGCTTTCTTAGCTACTTTTTGGTTAATAATTGTAAATTTGGTGTCAAAATATTTGCAAATGAATTGTCTAGAGAATAGATGCAAAAATAAGTGTATTTATTTATAATAGTTTATGCTTCTCTCTATGCATTCCTGAATGTTAACATATGGTGCTCAGCAGATCCTACTCAGGAATGCATAAAAATGTTTACAATCACTTCATCTTGGCAACTTAATAATTAAAGAGAACGTAATATAAATACCATGGGGGAGAAAAATGTGAAATAATGGAGTAGTAGTAGTTCTACAGTGTTAACTTGTACAGGTTCATCTTCAAGTGAAAGTGAATCAGAAGAGGAAGAAGAAGATGAAGAAGGTGGTGGTGGTGGTGGTGGTGGAGCAGAAAATGAAGAGGTAAATGGAGAAGGCGAAGAGGAAGCACATGACACCATAAATGATAATCACCACCCTTCTGACAACGAAAACAATATACCACTGCCAGACAATCTCCCTCCAGATCTTACGCAGGTTTGTTAATGGTTTCATAATTACATATAACCGGTAGGAATACCTGATGATAGTCTTTATTTGTCATGTGGTTACTTCCTAAAGTAAGATTCTCTTTTGTACCCAGAATTCATGTCCTGGGTTTTGCCCATAACTTCCTATTTAGCGTCAGCTGTGCTCGACAGTGGCTTCATTCTTTTACCTCTTCCCACTTCATCAAAGATATTTTAGTGTCTGGGTCAGGAGCATGGGTGTTTTTTGTGTACCAGGTACATTTGGCTGGTTCCTCCATGTGAGTGTGGATTTTTGCACTTCATGGTTTCATTTGTTGGGCCTTTGGCATGAGCAGTTCACACTGATGTTATTGACTGGCTTCTGTAGCCTTTCCTTGTCTCTGGGTGATAAGGATTTAGTTGTTGTTTGTAGTTGCTATAGGTCTTTGGCTGCCTGGCATTCTCTTTGTGGTAAAGACAGGACCAGATGACCTATTTTTAAGTTGGTGTAACCTTTGTTTGACATTCCTAGTGTTGGACATTCTGACATAGCATTTTGTGTATCTGCAGAACTGTCTGGCATTGCATGGTGATCTGCTGCACTGGGTTTTTGTTCCCAAGATACATTCCTGTATGGTTAATTGCCTTAGCTAAATTCACTTATTGTTCGGGGACTTCCTTATAGTGTCAAGGACTGTGTGGGGTTGCATATCTTGCCCACAATCTTTTGGAATTGGCTCCCATATGTTTCTGGTTAAGTCCACCCTCCCTTTTGAGGTCCTCTTTGCACCCACAAGGCACCACATGCTTTGGCTTTTAGCTTTACTAAACATTTGAAATGGATATTCTGCATCTTGTCAAAGCCAGTAGAAGCACATTTCTCCCATGTCTGATTGCAAAGTTGGTCTTGATCCTGCAAACATTAGACAATTGTGGGATGTGTGATATTTCATATTAATTTTGTTCAAGAGAGGAGGCTAGTGCCCTGTACAATTACCTCATATGTGTCATATGAATTCTTTACATTCAATACTCTTTACATTCATATTCTGGGATACAATAGGCTAGGAATACTACCAGATCAGATACAATTAAAACATATCTAGATAATTTATATTTGTTTCTAAGTAGCAAGGATAAAGACGTGTGTAATATTTATAGAAGTATTTATCAGTGAGCGTGGTAATCCTGAATTGGGAAAATACTGTAATTAAATATTGCTAAATCAAACAAAAGATAAAATAATAATTATTAAATCCTAGTCCAACAATTTCATTCCAAAAAGGCAAAATATAGTAGTATACAGTGTTATTAAAAGTTCCATAAAATGTTTCTTCAAATTTGTTCTCTTGTTTTTACCAACTTAAGTCATCCATTAACCTTAAATATGCAGCTTTCATATAAAATGTCATCCTGTCTGTGCATAAACCCAAAAAAAACACCTTTTTCATATTGATTTCTATTTACATGCAAAAAGTTGAGTGATGGAGTTAAGGTTTAAATTAATACGACACATGAAAGTTGCTAACTCTCATGTGTATGTTTGTTTGCTTCATGTCATGTTTATTGTTTCACTTACTAGTTTACACAACATAATGTTGTGTTTAATAACTTAATTTATGTTTATATACTGTAATTGATAAAATTGGTTGTGCACTGTATATAAGACCACTTTATATAATACATACACCTATTGCACATACCAGTAAACCTTTTCCAAGGATAGCTGAAAGAATGTTTCTGGTGGCCCATTTGCTGTTCTGTCTGGAACATTATCCAGAAATAGATTCAAACACTGCCAAATTGTAATTTGACGAGAATTTTAGGCCTTAATAGCACGATAAACTCATTGAATAGTAAGCCATTTAAAAAGCAGAACTTTTTTTGAGACATTGTTAACTACATTGCAAGCAGAACTTTTTTTGAGACATTGTTAACTACATTGCAAGCAGAACTTTTTTTGAGACATTGTTAACTACATTGCAAGCAGAACTTTTATGAGACATTGTTAACTACATTGCATGTATATAGATGCATTATAACAATATTTGCATCATTGGTATAAAAAGCTGGCCAATAATAATGAAGAGCAGCAAATATGATAACTGCAGTGTCCTGGGAAATAACAAAAAAAGATGACAAAGTAGGGGTTTAACAAGCATCTTTGTTTTTGTCCAGTTGTGTGGTGTTGTTCAAAATCCTTTATATATTCTTATAAGTTATTTACACAACTATAATTATATTTCCAGGCTATAAACAAATTAAAGGAAGAAGGTCACACATCCAAGGGTTCCAGTCAAAAGTTTTTCACAGATTCTGTCAATAAAGTACTCTTAAGGTAAGATGGATTGTGCTAACATTCAGAGTCAAAATAAAGTATAAAAGGGACCGGATTCCCAAGAAAGATGATGAAGGGGATAAAGCAATCATTGCCTTTGATGTTAAAAAATTATTACGTTATTGCATGCATCTCCTAGTCCTAAGCAGTTTTAAGTGTAGCAAGGTTATAAAATGGTACAAATAGAAGGTAATTGGAAGGTGTTAGTGGGATGGCAGAGATTGAAGACATAATAGACTGGGTAATAATAAACAACATATTCTCAAAATTTGGACAGCTGGAGAGGATAGTGTTTCAGTATATTTTCAAAATGTATACTGTAAACAGAAATGAAAGGATGATGTATATATATATATACAGCACATGAGTAGATTAAGCATTATGAACCAAGATAGTTGATTGGAAGGAGCAACATAACTCCGGCAGAATGTAATTTCTATTTAAACGACATTATATATCTTGCGTGTCTTACCAATTATGAATGTATCTAACTTATATAATCCTGGGCTTATGTTTATATTCAAAAATTCGCTATTATATTGCAAGAAGATTTAGTTAGATTTCTTTCCGTAATTAATTTACATTCAGTAATTTTTAGGTAATTAATCCAGTCAATTGGGTGGTTTAAATCTTTCAAATAATGCATTGGCATCCTGACCTGTCCTTAAGCTGTATTTAAGCTCTTGTTCTTTATTTTTAAACTGAAGAAAGTATTTGAGCTATTAAGCTGGTCCCGCAGGTATAACAGGGCCGACCTCGAGTCACAGACCAATCCAACCATGTTACTGACCATGAAGGGGTCAATTGGGACTTTTGAAAGCTAATTAAGAATCCAAACTGTAAACTGGGAGGCCAAACTAATAAGTCCTTGAGATACCTGGGCATTGAGAACCTGGAAATAGTGAACTACCACCTGAGTAAGTCAGGTGGTAGTTCAGCTGAGGCAGTCTGGTGAAGATTTATGAAGTCAAATTTAGCTAAAAAAAATGGTTGCAAACATGGTCTACTATGAACCCTAGCCAATTCCTTAACTATAGGTAAATCAGAATGAGCCACAAAGTGTGTCATTATTCCAGGGGAAACACACTAAGACTTATTCAACACACTTTCAAACCTAGTAAGCAATAGTTACAGTACCCCCAAAAGTTTGACAAGAAATCTTAGTACTCTATTGTAAAAGGAATGATCTAGGGTAAATTGAGGAATTAAGGTCCTCCTTCAGAACAAGAAATTGCCAGCATGCTATCCAGAGATGCAGTGTAACTTCAATAACCCCCTTGGTTGGACAGTTCACAAATGACAGCCCAGAATATAGGCATATACTGCTGGGAAGGAGCTAGAAGCACCTGGCAAGGAAGGGAGACCAACTCTAATGTAGGCTTTGATACACAAGGCTGAATGTTCAAGCATCCTGAGTCCAGGCCCATCAAAAGGCCCTCAGATGTCCCCCAGTCACACCATCACTGAGCTTAGTAGGAAAGGGCTGACGAGAAATCCTAATGGTCACCATGGTGAACATTGGAGAGGCGTCAGCTTTGAAGGATGAAAGGGGTAACCGACTGCTCAGCCTTAGAGGCAGATCACAGCCAAAATACCTGCTAGGTGGGGCTGGAAAGAACTCTCCTGCTGCAGCTAATACCTGATTCATCACCCCTAAAGGACTTTGTCATTGATAACAAAATGCCTATTTATGACTATAAAAGTAGAGAATGTTATTGCAAGTGTGTTTGACAAAATAACACTAACATAGAGTATATACTAATGAGGATGATAATATTAGGTAGATTTTAGGAGCTATATATCTTAATGTATATTTCTTTTACTTATGTGAGATGGTTCAAAAAGTTTGTTTGTAGCTGTAAGCTAGTTTATAATGCTCATTTGTTTTCAGTATTGAAATGAAGTTGAATAAGTTAGGTGGAAGGAAGAAGACGCAAATATACAACCACCTCTCACAGCATCTTCCTTGTGGAACTCAAACTTTAGTCAAAAGGGCTAAGAACCTATTAACTGAAAGACAAGAAAATAGATTAAGAGAGCCATTGAGAAGGTATGTTTGGCATTTTATGTAATTAAAACATTACTGTATATCTATCATGGAAATTTAGTGATTTCAAAATTGATTTTCAAAATCAGGACTATGGTTTTCTGAACATGTAGTTTAATTAATTATAGTAGAGTTTGCTGTTGTCAGAAATAATTGATCCAGACCCCTTGCAGTTAGTTGGATATATCTGACCATTTTTCTTATTACAGTATTATTGTTATTTTGCTAAATATGGGCCTGGCCTATCTTCCAGGTGTTGGAATTACTGAGAAGTATCAGTTGTTTTCAGACATATGTTTGATAATTACCAAGTCACAGTACCAAGAATTCTTTGAAACATTTTGTGTTTTATAATGCAGTTTTAGGTAGTTTACCTTAGTATTGGGTTATATTTGATCCTCAAATGTTTCTTGTCTTGTAGAAACGTAAGTGTCATTTGGGATGTTATGACTCAATATCACAGGGGTTCTGAGATATGCATCGAGTCATGAATGAAAAATTAACTAAATGAATCACGCGTGGTTGGTGAAAGGCAATGTGAAGTTTAATGTTTGTGTGGTAATACTCAGCTCTTAAGCACATTCACTTAACTGATGCATACATAGCCTTAACAAAACTAATTTTTTTCAGGTTAAAGGAAGCTGTTGATGCTCACATGCCTCCATTAGTTGAACAGCATGCCTTAGAGTGTCAGAAAGCTGCAGAATCCAAGTAAGTAGCAGTGTTGGCTTTGATGTAACTTTATGTGTGTGTGTGTGTCTATATATATATATATATATATACTTTTATATATATATATATATATATATATATATATATATATATATATATATATATATATATATATATATATATATATATAGGTTATATATATATATATATATAGGCAAATCATATATATATACTATATATATATATATATATATATATATATATATATATATAATACTTTTTCAGTTATTATATGTTTTGTTGTTACCTAGGTAATTAGGCACAGACTCAACTGGATCGATGCAATCTCGAAATTATTTGCTGGTGATAAAATTTAAACAGTTATTGGAATCGTTCGTCATGTATGCAACATAATCACCTGCTGTGTGAAACACTGATTACAGCTAAGCTGTCAGTGTGATCGAATGCTCAGGCTCTTGAAGAATATTTCTTGACTCTAAATTTGTTTGGGTTTGAAGTCTTTTCTTTTTAGACTACAGTATTCTAAAACTTCAGGCCAAATCTTTTAAGGTTTTATTTGCACAAAAGAATACAGAGTTCAGAGTTGCTTGTGCTCTTCCCAGACAAAAATGTTTGTAATTAGCCTAAGAATTCTTATATTATTTTAACAGTCTCTTCCCCCCTCCCCCAATTTTGCATGGTTATAGCATAATTCTTTTTAAGTGCCTCTGTTGAGCATATATACTTTTGAGGATCAGTTCCTGTCATTAGTTTATTTTGATATGCATATCTAAATTTATATATTGATGTCCTATACCTCCATTAGGGTTATGAGATGTGATCAATAAATTCCAACCCTGGTTTTATTGTATGAATACATAGGAGTTGTAAAATGGAAATGTTGTCCATCATCTCTGACCCTTAGTGTTTTTGCATCAGCTCTTTTCATTGCTGTTAGTGTCTTCCATTGGGCAAAAATTAACAATATGATGTGGCGGTAATAAATTCCAATTATTTCAGTACAGTAAAAATTTTAAAAGTGCTCAAGGATATGTCAGAGCTCAGAAAGAAATGAAGATTTGAATAGTCCACAAGCACATATATCATAGATATTCGAGCATCTGGTTTTAGACACTTGTGCTAAGTATATGCCGGCTTCATCTTGTGCTCCTAGTGGGCTGCCACCTTGATTGGCTTCGACTCTCGGAGTCTTGGTCTCCTTCATATGTTCGGGTTACTAAGTAGTTTCTTGATGCAAGTACAGATAGATGTAGAAGTGTTGTAGGTGGCATCAGGGGCCACCCTCTCTTGGGATTTGGGATGTGATTAATATTAGGGAGCCTACTATCTCTGCATTGATTACTTTCTCTTTGGGAGGGGCATCGGGAATCAGCTTTCCAGAGTTAAGGTGCTTCCTTAGTGATGCTTTTTCAATTTTCTCGGTGCAGGCTCTGGACTCCAATCGAAATGTTGGCATCCTACCTGGTCTTTCCTCATTTGTGACGGGAATGGTCATGTGGTGGTGTGGTTTTCAGAGGGGGGGTCTGTGGTTGCCCTTTGACCCTCAGTGGAGTTTGATTCCTAGTCCCAAAGGTTTGTTGCTCCAAACACATGTGATCTTTTATTCCCTGTTCCAGTACGAGCTTGACAATTGGTTCCCCAGGGGTGAGTATCCAGGCCCCTGGTTCATGGCCTTTTTTAAGAGTAAGCTCATGTAGCTGGTGAGGGGGGCCCTCCCAAAAACCATGCAGTGCATGAAAAGCAATGAAATGCCCCTTTACTGAGAGGCAAGCTCCATTGTCTCTTAGTGACCCAGATTCTGTTTATGGCTTCTTGTATGGGATGAGACAAGATTTGGAAGCCTGCTATGTAATGCTATTGTTTGATGGAACCAGTGCATTAGTTCAAAGATCTATTTAAGACCTGCTAGAAGAAAGCGTTTCATTACATTTGGCACCCAATTTTATCAAATTGCCTCAAATCATATTAACATGCAATGCACTAGAGTTAATCTAAATCTAGAGGGCCCCAGACAGTTATGTTTGTTCTAGGGTTTAATTTTGAAAATTTATCAAATTTGTATGGAGTATTTGCTTTTGGTTAAAAATCATAAGTCTTGAAATAAATTACAGTACTAATGAGTTGATACACATCTGTTAGAATTATCTAAAGTGCTTTATTATTTAAGAGTTCTTTATACTCCATTTGTCAGTCTTGGAACTTACATTTTTGTTGGTGAAATGTAGTGCAAGTTATTGCTTCTGGTTGATTATTTTAAGTACCTGATAAAAAATTCTATCTAATTGGGTTTATTATGCTTTAGAAATGCATTGGGCACTGAAATACTTGGAAGCTTTGAATTCCTGTCACTAAATCTTAAATACGAATCCATTTCCACAAGGTTATATTGTGAAGGAGTATGAGGTCATTTTGTGATGTGAAGATACATGAAATAATGTCCGAGTGCTGTGGCTGTCTGTCTCACTCGATAACCATCATAGCTAACATTATGTTCACTGATATCAGAAACTTGTACAGTCTTTATCAATCAGGATCATCTATGATACTATCATCGCATAATAATAACAGTTACTTATTTTAGTGGTGGTGTGGCCCCTGGCTGCACAGCGGTGCTGTGAGCACCTGTTTTAAATCTTTTGTTAATCCTAAAAAAAACCTGGTTGTGGTATGCACCATGGAATAAACAACCATGATCGTGGTGCACAGTTGAAGGGTTAATGATGAAATAAATGCAATTATTTATCAATGATAGTGATAAAGACCATGTACAAGGCTGAGATTTCAGTTTACCCCACTACTGATGGTGGTGTTAACAGCTTACGGCAGATATCCAGAGCACACAACAGTTTGGTGTGTGTACATATCATGAAACAGGACCTCATGTTCCTTTAGGAAATGAACATGTGAACAATTTTCATATTCAGGATTTAGTGACCAGGATTCTGATAATAGCAGTGCTGTGGCTAGAGTTAGCGATGTGCATAGTATATCGGTAGGCACGTTGTTTTATCAGGTGCTGTTGGCAACTGACAAGCATGTGGTGCTATGCTGTGCTTGAATCAATGGTTGCGAGATTACCACACCCACCAGAATTGCGTATGGGTTTGTAATATTGCTTAAAAATGTAGATATAACGTGTCTATACAGTGAAATAACAGTGAAACAGTGTGTTTTATTGTTCTAAGGATATAATATGGTGTTCCTATTAGTGACATGAATATTCTTGAGCATACCGATGTTCCACACATTTTATTATAAATTTCCGAAATGACTCTATTGAATATTATTACTGAAAAAACAGTGAAAAAAAAAATCGGTGACATTATCTTTCCTTTCATGCTTTACAAATACACCTTGGATCCTATAATTAAGTTCTTCACATACATATCATTTCCTCTCTACAAATGTACTGTCAACTTTCAAATTCTGAGTTTTATCATTAATCTGTAATTTGCTTTATTCAAACTATAAAAAAAAGTTGAGGGGTAGACTTGATTCTGGCCCACAATCCTATTTTTCCAGAGTTGTGCTCCTCTCTCTCCTTCCCATTCTTATACTTATTTCTGGCTTGTTTATATTGCTGGAACATTTGGGGTAGCTGATAATTTAACTTTTGTCTTAATTACTTTTTAATCGCTTTCTTAATCCGCCTCTCATGCTGCTTTTATTTGTGCTCCTGAGTTCCTTTTGCATATACAATACAGTACATCACAAAATTTTGCATACATTACATTGACAACTTTTCTCTGAATCTGGCATATTCAATATATTTGAAATACTCATTTATTCCATATACAGTACTGTACTTATCCCTCTTCTAATTAAATTTCACATCTCTACTTTTTTCTGGCACAGTATCATACTTAATTAAATGCTGTACTTTACAGTACTTTGCAGTACTTATCATTGCCATGTAATTTTTTTAATGGAAGTCAAATACTGTATTTGAAATTATTCATCTTCCTTGTGAACACAGTACTGTACTAAGTCTAGATAAGTCATCACCACTCCTCATTCTCTTTCTCACATTCATTGCCAAGTATGCCATTATAAAATGCTTCCAGGATCTAATTTAAAAATAGAATTATGATTTTTTAGTTGCATCTTTTAACCTCATTTCCTGTTCAGGTATTACTTGCCAGATGATTGTTTGCATTCATGATAAATTTTTAGTTTTGCAATAAATGTTCAACTCAAAGTTTTCACTATGTGGGTTTTGTAGAATTACCTCAGTAATCTAGATATGGCCCTTTGTCCATATTGTCACACCACAACTCTTTATTTTTTCTGAAGGGGTCAAATGGTGGCTTTCTGAAGCTAGCCGCACTAAGATAGCTCTAGACACGAGTCTGATCAGCTCCAGGAGTCCCTAATAGCCTACTGGTAAACAGACCAGACTTGGTCCCTTCACAGATGTGCAGGGAGCAAGTGACAATTTACCGACTCACTGGTAAAAGCATCCAGAAAGTCAGCAAAGCTTTGCTGACAACTGGAGGGTTCACAAAAAATGAAGCCTTGAAACTGCAAAACAACTCTGTAAGCAATTCACACAGAATAAAGAATTCACTAAAACTAGCTCAAATAAAGGATTCATTCAAACTAGTTTGAAACTTTTTAGTATCAGTCTTCACCAGGCAGCCTGGCTTAAGCCTGATGTTATGGTGGATATTTCTACCTGTAGTGCTTTGGTTTGCCAGTCATGGGCAAGCCCACAGCATCAAGCTAGGTGCTGGCCATCCTTTGGACTTTGATTGCCTTGCAAGGGCAATTTGCTTGTGTTAACCTCCTTTATTTTAATGTTAGCTTCATGGGCATGTTTTGGTTCCGACTTGTTGTGTGACCTTGGCTTGTGTTGTGATTCTGGCTGCATACGATCAGGGCTTTCTTCCCTGGGTGCCTGCTAGTGCTACCCTTGCACAGTAAGTTATCTTCTTATGGTGTGTTTGAGAGTTTGCCCCTGAGAAGCTAGGCCACTTGGGCTAACCACGGGTCTGTGACAACTCCATTTGTATGCTTAG